CACTACAGTATATCTATTTGTCAGCTCACTCGTCTGATATTCTGCTAGCCAAATAGGTATGTCTTCTAATTCGTCTGCCTTTTCCACTTTATTTTTACTTTCCAATATTACTCAAATTGTTTGTTACACTTATATTTGCGCTTTCAAACACACCTACCTCTTTATCTACTCTTCTGCATAGTCTATGTGATTTTCATGCGTATTCACGTTTATTTCATGTTTCTTCTTACATATTTGTCCCTACGCTCATGTATTCTCTACATTCATTTTTCTCCTCGATTATAGTCTCGCTCGGTGTTCACTCACTGACTAAAACACCCAGATAGTAATATTTGTTCTCGGTCTTTCATTACTTCACCAGATTTCTCATTTCCCGTCTAGGGCCCTTTCCACCACCTGCGACCACGTGGCGGTTATTACCAATGAAAGACAGCAGATAGAAGTCGGGAGAGAACAACACAATTTCTCTCTCTCTCTCCCTCCCTCTCTCTCCCTCTCTCTCTTTCTCTTTCTCTCTCTTCCACCCCCATGATTCAATACTGACCGTGAAAAGAATCGCCTCTCTTTACGAGTTCGCCTGGCGAAGTTCATTTACTGTGAAAACTCGTCGCAGTTATTGAGATATTTATCGGGCTCCGAAAAGAGAGTTATGCGCATTCTATCTCATAAAGTCGTAACGCCACGGGCCGAGTTTTATGCCGGATTTACCGGGGAGATACCTAAGCGCAGCGCGCCTCCCGCACGCGGGCGGCCGGCTTGCATTGCACAGTGGGGCCAACACAAGGAAACTCAGAAATTAGCATTAAGAGCGTCAACCTATGTAATAGTTACGTCTCCCAGGAGGAAATTGTGCGTGTGTGTGTGTGTGTGTGAGAGAGAGAGAGAGAGAGAGAGAGAGAGAGAGAGAGAGAGAGAGAGAGAGAGAGAGAGAGAGAGAATCGTATAAAATGCTTGATTTTTAAACTTTTAGGTCCCGAGTTTCATCACTTTTTGAGTTGATGATAAATAAAACAAGTTCAGGGTGTTCGTCGAGGTGATTTTTCTAGATTGCGAACTTTTGGTTTTGAAATACTTCATTAATTAACTAGAGACATGTTAATACAAGCTGTTCACGATGCATTTCGGTTGCTAACTGAACAGCATAATCAGTTTTATCAAGTTAGAATTGTGAATCGACGAAATAACTATTTACGTAACATTAGGTTTCTAAAACAAGTACCTTGTTTTGTAATATTTTAAGAATGTATTTGTTAGTAGTTTTGCTAATATATTAATGAATATAACCAGATGATTAAAAAAGAATAACTACCCTATCATTGGCTTGAGATAATTCAGTAGTTAATATTGTGTATTTGCAAAAAGTTGTTTGTTTCCAGCTAATATTTCTTTCAAACGTCGACCCAAATCTCCGATTCATCACAATCTGCGTAGAACGTAACATAAACAGTGACAATCTGAAATGAATGAAAGGATGTGGATTCGAATCCCGCGTACGGCATGATTATTCTTAACCTCAACAGTGCAGTGAAAGGCAATGGCAAATTTACGCGTTCCCCTGTAACAATACGTCTCAAACACGCGAAATACTGAAAACTATAATTGGGAAACATTGGTATTTACAACAAGAAATTAAGGGATGTAGGCCAATTCCTGGGGGTACAAGCTAACTGATCTACGTTAAACATAAAATACCAAACCAGAATACCCAATGCGAGAGAAAGACGAAGAAAGCCGGTTATACTCACGGTTATCATAGAACATATACAAACGGTCACACAAAAGACCATCAAAATCGTTGCCAATTATGACAGCTCATTCAAAAGGAAGATTCGTCATTTCTTTTTTCAAAACTATACTTCAGAAGTGCTTCCTTCAGGATGTTTATATATTTCAGATTTTCTGTGGTGTCTACTAGTCCACTTATTTTTGGTGCTCCTTTCGAAATATATGACACCAAATATTAGAGATGGATAACGAAACAAAAAATCACATGACGGAGTGTCACAGGGACAGCTGAGAGCCTTTGTATGACGGTCATGAAAGCCTATTTTATAAAGAAATAACGTGAATTACATTTCGATCATCATGCTGAGCTCTTCTTCACGACTGGATTTCCCTGACAAGATGGGAGAAACGCCAGATTTGACGCGAAGCCAGGTCGAGCGCATTCGAATTACTCTTGGCGCAGGATGTACTAAATGAATATTATTCTACGTATCACTGCATATTATCCCTACGTAGTTTTACGAAAACTCAATTTAACCTACGGTTAACTAAACGAAAATGACTGCATTAAGGTGAGTGCAAAACAACTAATTTATTTCCCTTCTCAAACGCAATAGGAAGATGAACCCTACCTTTTCAATCGTTACTATACGAGTTGATTGCAGGATCTTACAACTTCTTACAATAACGCACATAGTTCTTGTCGAAACAGAAAGATGATTCAATAGTTCATTTACATTTGGGCCATTGTTTTGCTTTTAACCGAATTGTGCTGCGTCCGAGCCGTCGCGTGCTGAAAAGGGAACCCTGTGGCACTCCCCAATTCTCGCGCTGACACGTGCGTGGCACAATCCCCACCGCCACCACCACCATCATCTCCATTCTCCATCGGCATCACCATCATCGTCACTATCGCCGTCACTGCCGCCACCGGCATCTCCATGATCATCGCTGTCACCACTACCGCCACCACTGCCATCGCCGTCACTGCCACCATCACTGCTATCCCCATCATCGCTGCCACCGCCACCGCCCCTAAAATCGCAGGCTCCGCGTCCACGAACGTCACTGCCACCACCATCGCATTCACCGCTATCGCCCCCACCACCGACATCTCCGCCTTCATCTCCATCACCATCACCATCACCATCACCATCACCATCACCATCACCACTACCGCCGTCGCGGCAAGCGGGCAACGAGGCGCTGGGCTCGCATTCCCACGACGGGCCCTGGGGCGTGCTTGATAAATGGAAAAGTTATTTAGTGCCGTGGGTTCGCTCGGCGACAATTGGGAAAACGCGCGAATTGAATAACCGGCGTTTCGGCAGCGAGTGTTTAAATATTTTATTCGGCATCATTGCTGTCGCACGCGTGCTGCAAAGAGAGAGAGAGAGAGAGGAGAGAGAGAGAGAAGGCGCGAGAGACTGAGTACCAAGGGGCGCTATCCGATTTGCCCTCTAATATGACACACGGCGCGAATGCCGTAATGAATTGAAGAGGGGCGGATGGGGTGTGGAGTGTACGAAACGCACGCGTGGCGTAGCTGTTGGTGGAAATAACACATACACACACGCACGGCACCCCCCCCAAAAAACCAACGAAAACGAAAAAATATTATTAATCTTCTAACGGGACCCCTGAAATAGTATCAAAGCGCGAATAGCAAGAGGACAAACAACCCTAGCTCGCACAAATTACGCTTCCACTCGATCTCATTCGCAGCCACAAATTTCACACTCACTTCGCGCCCCGAGGCTTCACCTCGCAGCGCGACGTCTCCCCTTCGCGTCATCACTTCGCCCGCCACCCGATCCTCACACGCAGAACAGCCGTAACGATGTGCGTATCTCCAGAGCGAAGGAATTCACACTCCAACGCTTACCGTCGGTGCTCGCGCGGAGTTAACGACTTCTCGTAATTTCGTCTCGATTTTTGCGAGGGTTGTGGAGGAGGGGACTGCGGGCTTAAGGGCGACTGAGATAATTGGGAAACACTCTTGATTAGAAGTCGACGCGTCCAGGGAGCATGCAGTGACCGGGAGATAGCAGTCGAGGAGTGCTTTGGTGACGTACGAGCGAGAGGATTTGGGCGAGATGGAATGGACATACGGCGGGATTGGCGGCGACCAGTAGGGCAAAATGTCAGCGATGAATTGGCATCACGTATTTTAACCAAATGGATCCACAAGATTGAATCGATGTTCATTTACCATTTTCAAAGCATCTGTTTATTTTCAATGTTTCTCGTCAGTCATATCCGTTTTCACATGAGAAAAGGCAGAAAAAAAGAATAAAAATCTGTAACATTTTCTTTACATTACACTTTATTATTATTGCATTCTACTTCGTATTTTATATTTTCATCCTTTTTTCTTTCATACATTAATAAAGAATCGTAATTTTGTCTGTAATTTTTTGAATGATTATCCAACTTCACAAATTTTGCGTATACTAATGTTTTTAATCATTCTACTTATATAAAATTGTATGAGCAATGAATGTGCAAACGATTGTGTGACGATTAATCAATTGTCAAGAATACATCGAGTTCCTAAATAAGCATTTTATTGGCATTAGTGAATGATACAATCGCGTAGAAATTTAAAACTTCTAAAGAAGAAATTGAAGTCAAAAGAAAAATTTTAAGAATTAAAACTGTGAAAATTCCAAATTTTATTCCGATATTCAAGTATTAGAGAACTTGTCAGATTTATACATTTCATTGTCCTTATTTGTTTTTCTATTGGCCTGAGAGTTTTTATAAATAAATGACATATTTTTGCTTGTGTTTAAAATTCTCGTATACAAATCTACTAGATTTATGACTGGTTGTCAGAAAAACCTCAACCCAATAAATCTGAAAACCCTGTTTAAAAAGAATAGAACGACGAAAAATCGCTAAGGTTCTCAAATTTTCTAACACTTTCCGATTTCGAGAATTCGTATGTTAGAAAGTCCCAATTCTATTTGTATACAACCGTATTTCTTCGATCATTCTTGCTCGCACCTTCTGCATATGCGCCATTTGATTTGTGTCGGCCCAGCGTGCACAAGGACAGCCTCGACGGCGGCGGTGGCGGCGGCGTCAGTGCCCCCTGCATACGAATGCGGAGATTATCGCGGCGGGCCCTGGCGGAGGGAAAGTTATGATTAAACGCTATCATCTCCATACGAGGTGGCGCCGCCGCCGCTGGCCAGGCGCCCTCGCAGACGCCGCACTATTACATTTATCAGCGAGTGTTAGGCCCTAATGGGGTGAGTGGCGGCCGGTTAATGAGACGCGGAAACAGCAGGACGGCGGTGGCGGTGGCGGGGGCGATGGTGGTGATATTTGATGGTAGTGAATATGGTGGTGGTGGTAGTATGGTAGTGGTGGTGGGGGGTAGTATGGGGGTGGATGAGGTGGCGGTGGTGGTTGTTTGGTGGCCAAAGGAAAATTAGTGAAATATACTATGTGCGATAACTAAAGAAAGTTACTGCGAGTACAAGGGATTCAATATATCTACTCGTATCATCATTATCACACACGAAATGTTGGCTTTTAGGCAACGTTATTCATCAATAATTTAAAAATATGAAAGACGTTTAGAGGGGTGATGATGACGGTGAGTCATGCTCCAGCTGTTAATAATATTGATCGAAATGTGGTACTGAACACAGCATCTGTACAGAGCACTGGAAATCGCATTGCTAGATGTCAATAACTTTGTTTACGGTAATGGCTCAGAGCTAGGAAAATGGAGGGGGGTGCGACGTGCAGCGAAGATGATAGCTTGTCGTTGGTAATGATATAGTGTAACATCGGGGATCGTGTTTGTAGGCAGAATGTCAGGGTTTACAAATCTGATGTTCATGAATTTGGTGATCTAATCATAGTTGCCAGTAACCAAAGCAGAAGGAGTGGTGTATGTAGGGAGAGGGAGAGTAGAAACACCACCGTCTTTAATGGACATTATGGGAACGACGTATGTCGAAGTGACGTCAGTGGCAACAGCTTAATAGAACACTTGTAACAAGTACTGATGAACTGGTAACGAGTATCGATTTCCGTTCCGAACCTTATAACCATACTTTCATTACACATGACTTCCAGAACGCCTACAATTATCTCAACACGTTCTATCTTAATCAACGGCGTGACCCGTCAAAATGAAACGAGTAGTCAGAAAACCATTGAATTTTTCCAAATGATTCTCCACAGATAGAGTTCTTTGGAATTAACGACTTTGAATATTACAGAAATTTACTGTTTGAAATTTCCCAAAACATGCAAACTTTTATTACATAGTATTTTAGTGAAATTCAGATTTTGTTATCCCTCAAAAAATCAAATCTTGACAAATACAAAGAATAAGTGTAGCATAACAATTTTTTCTCATGCAACATTTAAAGTACAATATTAATTTTTTGTGATATGATGACATTAAAATATCCAAATCACTGGATTTATCACCTTTAATTGTGCGTAAACACTGGTATAAAGATCTCCAAGAATAAAAAAATTTAAGAAAAAGCTTCTAAATTTACTTACTCTCCTAATTCGAATTATTGTAATAGGAATCCTTTTTTAAGGAAAGCCATTGCGAAAGTATTTAGTATTATGAATGGAAATACCTTTTCTAAATAGATAAAAAAATGCTTACTCACATGATGTTCTACAACTAAATCTGAAACTTCTGAACGCAATAAAAATATAAACTTCTCGCTAATTCTATTTGGTTAATATATTAGAAAATTTTTATTACATTGAGATTAATGAAGTAGGTAAGTATTGTCTGATTGCGTATGTAAATAACAAACGTAATGTGCACTGGATAGCACTGTTAAAGTTAATTCTCAAATAAATTAGTTAAAAATTTGAAGTAATAATAAAAATACAATAAGATGGTGACAGTGATGGTACAGTGACGATAACCTGATCATATCGTACTGAAGTGCTCCCTGGTAAAAAAGACTTCCATTCCAGCGTTTGCAGAGCGCTTGAGTGACTGAGAATATGTGAGACTAAATGAAAGGGAGCGACAGAAAGTGAGCGATAGAGAGCGATAGAGAGAGAGCGATAGAGAGAGCGCGATAGAGAGAGCGCGATAGAGCGCGATAGAGAGAGACCGCGATAGAGAGAGACAGCGATAGAGAGAGCGATAGAGAGAGAGAGCGATAGAGAGAGCGATAGAGAGAGTGATGGAGAGCGATAGAGAGAGTGATGGAGAGCGATAGAGAGAGTGATAGAGAGCGATAGAGAAAGCGCGTGATAGAGAGAGCGAGATATAGAGAGAGCGCGCGATAGAGAGATAGTGCGCGATAGAGAGAGCGCGATAGAGTGATAGAAAGAGAGCGATAGAAAGAGAACGATAGAGCGATATAGAGATCGATAGAGAGCGATAGAGAGAGCGCGTGATAGAGAGAACGAGAGAGAGCGATATAAAGAGCGCGCGATAGAGAGATAGCGCGCGATAGAGAGAGCGCGATAGAGCGATAGAAAGAGAGCGATAGAGCGATAGAGAGAGAGCGATAGAGAGAGCGCGATAGAGAGAGCGCGATAGAGAGAGCGCGATAGAGAGAGCGCGATAGAGGGAGCGCGATAGAGAGTGCGCGATAGAGAGTGCGCGATAGAGAGAGAGAGCGATAGAGAAGAGAGAGCGATAGAGAGAGGGCGATAGAGAGTGAGCGATAGGGAGTGATAGAGTGTAGGCGATTAAGAGTTGTGAGTGAAAGTGACTGAGTGAGAGTGAGACCGAATGAGGGAGATAGCAAGTGAGGGTAAATGAGAGCGAATGATCGAGTGTGTATATGGTGACTCCTAACGCGTCAACTACTTTGTTCATTAGTCCCTTCAAAGTAGTGATTGTGCCGAATGATATCGGTGTATCTTCCCTATTAGAACGTGAGTATTGATGGCGACCAACAAATAGGCTTGCGGGTTTCGCTCTCCAAGCACGCTCTTCCAGCGGGGCGCCTGTTTAGCCGGGATCAGCTCTACGCTCCCGATTAGTCTCACGACGAGTAGTAGTGGATGACATACAATTTTGTGACTGCAAGGAGAGGGCGTATGTCAGGCTACTGTTTTGCCATTCCATTGGAAGTGCTCGGTGAAAATATAGCACTATTATCGATCAGAACAGCCGGCCGTTACAATTCTCCATCACACAACGTCAGCCATAGACCTCTTTAGAAAAACAACTGCCGTCGGAACTCGTACCCTATGATCTCTCGACCGGGGACGCTGGAGAGACAAGTTATTGCACTGAGCCATCCTTGCCGATATATTGTTCAAGACAATTATCTCAAACTAATGGTTTTTTTTATTGTTTAACGTTAAAAATAATCTTAAACTATATGTAACAAACTCCACAAATTGTGATTGAGACTATTTCGCGACGAAGACTGAATAGATATTACACCACTATCCAGGAAAATTGTATCTCGCTTCAATAAAAGGTATTGGTCTGCCTTCCTGGTAAGGAATATGAAGGCGTACCCGTGCATGCAATGTTAATAAAGCTGGGATGTTGCAGCCATCTCATGTATGTTTGTCAAGTGTTAAGTCAAGACAAGTCGGGTCGTGTGTAATGACATCCTGAACTTAGGTTACTCAACTCCACTTAAAAACAGGTTCAATATTGAAAAAGAAAGAAGAAGAAGAACAAGAAAAAAATGTCAGTACAAAGTTTTACCAGATTTTATTAATTTTCCCCTTGTATCTTTTTCAATGGGTAGAATGTATGGATCTTCACGTTTTCTAATCTTAAAACTGCCAAGAAATATATTTTCATGCGTAAATATCTCTTGAATTGCTTACTCATACGTTCGTAGGATAATACAATATAAACCAAAGTAATAAGTGAAACTGCTACTTAGTAACTCGTGATTAATAAGCGCTACTTTCCTTTTAATTCAAGCAGGCGGATAACCTATTTATCATCCTTTAGCCTCGAACCCATTATTTTCCACACAGTTTTCCAAAACAAACAGCGCAGAGAAGAGGAATACAAAGCACAAAAAATAGAAAACTGTCTGCATCGTCTTGCAATAAAGCGTTGCCTGTCGTACAACAACGAATAAGCACCTATTCTTCTTCCCAAAGTAGGACACACCTTGCAGCTTAACGTGACGGACATAATTGGTAACAAAGGGGAATCTACGACACCGGGCAAATACTTCACGCGTACAAGCCACATTGAATGAGTAAATTACAAAAATAATGGCAGGAAAAAAGCTGTACCTCGCCAAGCGACAACTTACTTTCACGGATATTCAGATATAATCCGCGTATTATCGCGCGATCCATCAACCTATTCAAGTAAATACAGCGGGATGCCCCGGGCTACTCCGCGATTTACATAATAAACCACCTGGCTGTCGCTTTGTTGCGTTGGCAGCCCTGCCATTGTCCTCACTGCCTGTGTTATACCCTGCACACGCCACCGCTACGGAATTCCTCTCCGGCTCAACCACATGCAAGCCACAGACACACACGCTCTCTCTCTCCCACCCAACCACACACACACACCGGAACACACGTGGATTTAGTGCGGAGCTTCGGGGAGTTGTGAGGATGTTTCGGTAGCTGTTAAGTCAGATTCGTGTTCATGAATTTATGTAAATCTGGTTTTGGTCTCCGTGTTGCAAGTTACTTAACTATGTTAAATTGTTATTGTATTTCGAGTTCGTGGCAAGCCATGAGGTGTTTGGAGCTGGCACAGAGGTTATTATATAATTACTATGCTTGAAGAATATTGTTGGTGTATATTTTGTATATTCAAATATAAAATGAAGTACGCGTTATTTTTAATTTGACAATATGTTTAAATGAGATTTTTGCATCAATAGGAGGAAACTTGTGTGCGCTAAAACATTGTATGTGTTTGGTCTGTGAAAAGAGATGTATTGAGTTCAGAAGCAAACCAAAGGAGTATCTCAGTGTTTTCTGAATGGATCAAAAGAATCACGACATGAAGAGCTACTAATTAAATCGCATATGGATGGAAGAAGTTGAGTTCCATATGACATAGTGTAGTTTTTAATACGATTTACATGTTCCTCCTTTCATATTTCTTCGTATTTTAACGCATTAAATTAAATTCGTTTTGAAGAAATCTGAAAGCAAGAAAGTGTAAAGCGGATTAAAAAACTACACAATTTCATCAACTCAATGTTTTCGGCCTGTGGACAATATGAGTTTTGATTATTTGCTTCTGAACAGTCGACTTGCTGTAATAGGTTTAATAGGAATTTAGAAATATACGTGATTAAAGAAGGGAAGCGGATAACTTAAATGTGTTTGTAGGAGGTAAAAATGATAAGATTCAATACTGCTCTTAACCTTAGAATCACTAAACAAATTGTTAGTTAAGCTTTATTAAATTCGTAAAATGAACTAAAACTTACCACATTCACACGATTAAATTTGACGCCAGCCGTGCATCGAGTTATGCAAAGTAATGGATTTTTATGATTATTTATTCTTTATCAATTTCCTCAAATGTATGTTCCCATAAATGACGTTAGTCCGTGCAACGTAGTTTTATCTCAACATTTACTCTATATTTTCCTGAAACACAATACTGAGGTCTAGAATCTTAAATATGGTCACCGAGAATGTACAGTATGAACAGAGTCAGTGCGGTATTTAGTAACGCATAAATGACACTCACATATTAACAAGTTTAAGAACTTCGCTTTGCGAGTATATTTAATTTTTAAGAATTTCTGGTTCGCGCCACTCGCCCAGCTGCAGCACATTGTGTTGTCTAGACCCACCTCTTCATGCTTCAAGCGACCTCATGCCGCCCCTCCCCTACCGTAACCCGCCCCGTATCACCCTGTCTTGCTTGCTGTGACATTAGATGCATGAAAGAATTAGATGCATTATTGCATTCTCCAGACAAACTTCCCATCGCACTTTTATAGCCTTAGTTAGACACAATCATCTCGTGTATCAAAAGTCATTAAAACCGGTTGAGTCGTACAGGAAGAGTTAGCCGTTAGCCAAATGTCATTTATTTGCATTTTTATTCATACATAAATTAATGAGCAGAATAGGCCTTTTCTACATTCAATGAAATACTCGACCATTCAGTGCACGTTTTATCAAAATCATTGAGAGGGTGTGGAGATTAACCCAGACAAAAAAATAACAAAAACCATAAAAACACTATGAATGGGTTTTTGTATCATAAAAATAACATGTGTTATAAAAATACATTTTTTTTAAATTTTCAGTCAGCACTATATATTAAACTAGATAGGGCTTCATGTAAAATACCCTCCCCATCAAAAAAATATCCCAGAAGCCGCGACATCAGCTAGAACGATTCAGGAATATCTATATTGGAGAAAATCGGCTGAACGGTTTATGCGCTAGTGTTGAACACAGACACGCGTTTTGCCGTCAATTGGTTGTTCGGTATGAAGGACGCATAAAACATGGGTTCTAGCTACACCACGTGTTGAAGAAGTTTTGTTCTATATTTAGCAACTGAATTTATCCATTTTTTTCTTACCAGGGCCCGCGCAATAAGAGTTTTTGTGTGGAAAATTCGCCGTTTGCCGACGCTCGATTACAATACTTTCCCTTCTTACGTTAGTAAGAGCGAGAAAGAAAAATTGCGTATGTAGGTAAAACTTATTGTCGACAGTTTAGGACAGAATCGTGATTTCTTTAACCCCATATCGTATTCTGTTCACGAAACGGTAAGAATGATTGCGAAAGAAAATGAAAGACGACACATCAATTCTGAAGTTACATCAATGGACTTCACCCAATTGATGTAACTGTAGTCATGTTTTTAATTTATTTAAGCACGCAGACAAATGGCACAACTACATTGAAATCTTTACTTCATCGAGCTTCGAAGAAAACCTATTCATCACAAACGAATTCTACGAGACTTACCTATAGAAATTAAATTCAATGAAGCATATTCATGTAAAATGCACGATCAAACTAATTTTCATGTCTTCGGCTGACAAAGAGCGGCGAACCTCATTAAAGCACTACAGATGAATATCCATTAACGAGAAGACAGTCAAGGGAGGCGCTTCAGATCTTTTAGACACACCCACAAATAGACGACTGATACCAAGAATAAGCCATGCTCATTGCCAATACGACCCAGTCGGCAGACTACGGGGAACTTCTCGCGAAAGACAATTAAAAGGGGGAGTTGTTGGTATAATAAACCTAGCATTCAGAGGTAGGGAACATTTATGAGGCGGTTAGTTGATTATTAACCATTACTTAGCATCCTCTTTTCAATTGGGATCTTTTTATCTCTGACGCCGACGGAAAAGCGGGCAGAAGGGGTGGGCGAAGGTGTTATTGGTGTCGGTAATGGTGAGGGTAAAAGGGTGAACATGGAGGTAGAGTGGAAAGGACGGGGATAGAACGACAACGTGACGACGGGGGGGGGGAGAGCGATGATATTGGTGGTGATGGTGGTGATTGTGATGACTGAAGTGAACGAGGTACTTGCAGAGCTTGTGGTGACTCAGGTGGTTGTGGTGTTTTTGGTGACTGTTGTGGCTGTGGTGACTATGGTGGTTGTGGTGTTGGTGACGGTTGTGGCTGTGGTGACTATGGTGGTTGTGGTGCTTTGGTGACTGTGGTGGCTGTGGTGCTTGTAATGACAGTGGTGAGTGTGGTTGTGGTGGAGTTATGGTTGTGGTGGTAATATTAGTAGGCGTGTTGGTAACGTTCCCGGTGGTGGCAGTGTCGGTCGCAGCGACGGCGACGGCAGTGGCGTTCGAGACGGAAAAGGGTGATGCATTATTAATTAAAGCTCTTCGTGGGAGGTATCACACAAAGCGGAGGCATCCATAGGATTATCGGCCGACGCCCCGGGGCGCGAGCTCGACAAAAGACGGGCGCGCACCAGGTGGCGCGGCGGTCGCCGACCGGCGCTACTTGGCGGAGGCGGCGCGGGAACCGTTCACACGTGCAGGCGCCGCCGCCGCTTCGTTGGAACGGGAGCGCTCCTGGGAGTCCAGAAGGCGGGGGGGGGAGCTAAAGTGGAGCAAAAGAACATCGATTTTTCATTTCATAATTGTAATTTAATAATACAAGTGGATTATTAAGTATTAGTAAGTGCAACTAGCCTCCTCATAAATGTTTCCCCTGTATGATAGGTTTGTTACACCAACAACTCCCCCTTTTAGTTGTCTTTCGCGAGAAGTTCTCCGTAGTCTGCCAAAGGGATCGTGTTGGCAATGAGCATGGCTTATTCTTGGATTCAGCCGTCGTCTCGTGGATGTGTCTAAAAGGTCTGCAGCGCCTCCCTTTACTGCCTTCTCGTTAATGGAGGTATATTTGTAATAGTGACAATACATTACTCTAGATGTGGAGAAAAAATGATGTCTACTAGTAGACGCAAACCTTGTCATGAAATCAAAATGTTGTAATCAAGGACGCTGAGAAACGTCTTAAAGTCATAACTTTTGGTAATCGAAAGTAGCCGAATGTACGGCGTAAAATCACAAGTCCTCTCGGTAGTTTTCGGAGCTTTGATATTTGTTCCGCAATATTTATTTAAGAACTTGTAAAAACTCTCAGATCATTCAAACGACTGGGAATGGCAAAACGTAACGTTGTCCGGAATAGTCTGTATTTTGCGCGGAGTATTGTACAAGCAAATGACAGTCATTACATAAGTTGATTTTTGTAATGTTGCTTTCCTGATTCTAAACGCAAACGTTCGTCGAAAGACCTCTTTCGAGCAACTCCCAATATCACTTCACTTATAGTGATATTAGAGGTTCAGTTGGGGATGAAAAAACTTTTTTTTATTTTACATTTTTCAAGAAGAGTCCAATGAAAATATACTGATATTTACGCAGTTAATAAAAGAAGCAGAGAAATACCTTTGAAACAACGAGCAGATCGCAAAGGATTCTCTAATATTTCGTGATAACTATCAATATCATCACTATCAGACGAGCACAGTTCCGCAGTTCAGGGTCACGACTTCGCTGCACGAGGCGAACATAGGGCGAAGCTTGCAGATCTTTTCGCTGTCAAAGACCGCGTTCGTACAGATGCGTTGAAGACAATATTTCTAGTCTTCTTATTCTCGCCTTGAATTCTTCATTCCTTTTGGGGTTGATTCGCCAAGAAATGAAGCTTTCTCTCTTGTTCCGTCCACGAATATTCTCGTAGTTGTGATCTAGTGTTGATATGGGGTTGTTGGCAATCAATGTCCAATGTCTCAGAAATCTTCTCGGGGCTGCATATTTCAAAACTAGTGGTGCTAAAACAGTACGAACTTTCTCCCACTTACATTCATGCCAAACTAGATAAAAGTACTCAAATTTTCGAAAAATTATACATGACCTTATTTCAAAATCTGTTTTTAGGGCATAGATTTCATTAAGATAAAAATCTCAATTTTAATACTCTAGTAAATAGAAAGCGCCGACAAAATTTTGAAAAAATAGTAATTTGAAACTCTGAATACAACGAAAATTGTTCATGTTCCGCATCAGGAACCCCCGTATTTGGTGTTGTTGTTGTTGTTTTTGTTGTTTACTTATCAGTTTAATTGTGCAAACTGAATCCAAACGAGTATAGAAGGTAACACCACAACATTATCCACGGATTGCAGATGATGGCTGTTAATAGTGTATAAATTGTGGTAAAGCTTCTTTTCTCTGATACAATGTACAGTACAAACATACAACCTAGACTTTGTCGATATTCATTATCATACAAGTATCCAAACACCATTAAAAAAGCGATGTTAGTTCCATTTGCAAATAAAGGATATAGTCACTTTTAATTACGGTAAACAATTTAGCGTCGTCAGCAAAATGCAAAACTTCATTGTATTTTATAACTTGAGGTAGATCATTGATGTTAAAAAAATAAAGTGGTGTTGCTCCAAAGGTTTTATATATTTAGTATGGAAGGCTATTTGGAAGACTAAAGGTGTGTTTATCTTATAGTTCACGAATACTAATAAAACGGCAACAAGACAGCTTCCTAATGTCACGTATTAGTTTAGAACAGAATGAAAAAAATCCTTTTGTCCATTTAAATCTTTTACAATATCTATTAATAAGCATCTGGGAAATTTTCTGCACAAATGAGTAGCACTGACTACCATTCCTTGACTCGTTTTTGGTGCATATGTACACTCTTCTAAACATTAAGTTTCGCGTCGAAAATGTCTTGGCCCGAGTGGTTGATGACGCTGGACATCCCTGCTTATCGGCAGCGCTATCTAACGTTTATTTTCCAAACTATATTTTCTAGATAGAACCATGAAGATTAAGTTTATTTCATTGGAGAGCGTATAAAATACTTTTATTATTAATTTTACTTCATGTTTACAAGAGTGTACATATATTTGAATGCTTCGCAGTAACTAAGTCGGTGAGACACTTCATAGCGGGCTCCGTTGCGCCGCAGTGAGAGCTCACAACACTGATAAGCTATTGTCTTATCACAATAGAGATAAGGAGTAACTACAATTGGTGGGCGTTTCACTGTAAGCATCGAGTAGACAACTACCAATCGTGTGACACTCAAGAGTTTGTTTTTTTTATACACGGAGGTGCCCTTGAGTGGCCAGCTGTCTGGAGTAATGGACGGCGTCAGTTCATCTGGCGATGGTCGGGATACAACGCTCATCACGTCCCGAGAAAACAGGGTTTCGATGAGTTGAATGCTGTAGCGGCAGGGACTGATCACCAACTGTGTCTATTTAACTTAATCGACTACTATTTCGTTTGAATTTTTTGCACGGAAGAGGCACGCGTTCTTACAGAATGTATAATATTCGTATTGAAGAAATAACCGAAAGTCAAATGAATTTTTAAATAATTATTTAATTTCTCATTGATTGGAATAAATAATTTCTTCTTTTGCTGTCGCCTTCAACTTGGATATCAATCTACTCTCATGATCAGGGAAAGTAATAACAAAAATTTCTAAAGCAGTTTCATTTCCAATATTGGCTTAAGAAATTCAAGGTGATTTATTCATGAAATGTTGACTAAATGTATGAAAAATGAACGTGGTTTTGACCTTTCAGAAAGTAGAACATCCTCCGATATTGCGAATCCCCTCCCCGCCCCCACCCTCGTGACAGGAATAACCAGACATCCGCCAAATTCTGATGTTCGCCCAAAAATGCCCTGGGAATCGAAACAGTTTGTATTGATTTACTTCTTTTGCCGGGAATGTACTAGAGATAGCTCCCTTTTTCGGAAATAACAGCTAATAATATTAATATTGTCTCAATATATTTCATTGAAATTACAAGAGCGGATTTCTGAGCCCAAAATTAAACAAATTGTAATGAATTTCGCACCTGGGATTATTTGCACAAAAAGACACTGCATTTAAACAAAACGTGGTTCGTATCAATTTTACTTTTCTAACACACATAGTGTGACTCAAGCGTATTTGCGATAATGGTGCAAACAACCGTAGTTGCTTCAATAATGGAAACTGATATGATTGTTTAAGATTATAAAATGGCTGACTAATTTTTCTTCAGTTGACAATTATTTTGTTTGTATCCATAGCGGAGATGATATAACTCCAGGTGGCTTTCCACAATCATATTTCAAAGTCTACATTCTCAACAAATTACAACAATCCCTCTTTCAACCTTTTGCTTCCCGTCGCATCCGATTTGAGCGCCGCCACAAAACGAGTTTCCTATCGATTTCTCTTTTCTAATTCGCACGGCGTGACTTCTGAGGGAAGTCCTAATGGTTCAAACACCCGCAGTCGCCTCGACGCGGGCCAGGTGCCTGTGTAACACGCATTGTGTGCGTATATAAATCATTCCACGTTGTGTTGACCATTCCTGGGCAAGCAATTGTGTACATTCGCGAAGGGGTGGTGTTTAGACGAAACAAGCGCCGCCGGCCGTGAACGGGAGTAGGGGGGTGGTTCTTAATTTCCGTCGGTGAACTCACAGAAGAAGATGATGATCGGTCTCCTTTGAAGGGGAAGAACGAAACGATAAGCTCATTAAGGGATGAAGTAGCAAGAACGAGAGAACGCGAATCAGTTGAGGCATACCCCGTCTACAAACGTGTACGATGTTATCTCTGGAGTCGCAGAACCCCTTTGATTATCATCGCAATCGGTAACGCGCGCCTTAATACATTTCGCGACGGCTTCTTTCTTCCAATAAACTTTTTTGTGCGAATCTCAAAGATGATCTTTAGATTGTTGAACACTGCGATCGGGTATCGTCATGTTTATCTTCAGAGTTTTCGGGCACCTCTCGCTCGGAGATTACTTATCATTATAAAATAATTATTAAACATTAATTTTTTGTGTTGAGTGGAGGGTCTCTCTGTTATTGAATTGAAAGAATGTGATAATAAATGTGGAAAAAGAAGCAGCGGAAGAGACGGGGTCGTTCGGTGGGTTGTCGTTAAGGCCTTTTTACCTCCGGCCAGCCGAGCGGTGTGTGTGTGTGTGTGTGTGTGTGTGTGTGTGTGTGTGTGTGTGTGTGTGTAATTGAGGTGAGTGTAGGAGAGATTGGGTATCTTGAGAAAACGTGTTATCTGGACGGCCGGTGGGAGATTAAACCTGTTGTATAATAGTGTTTCGGGAGTCCCGGGTAATCAACATTGGGCGAGGTGGGTAATGTAATCAAAATACATGGCTGTGGGG